TTTTCAGGGGTTATTAACTTTGTACTGCTGCAATTTAAATGTGACTGTATGGAAGAGCAAGTCCAGTGTCTTCATTCTGTTACCATCTCAATAGACTCTATCCTTTTAATTCAACTTTTTTTTTTTAAGATTTATTTATTTATACAAGCACTGGGTACACTCAGAAGTGTGGGAGGGAGAGAGGATTCACCAGAACCAGAGCAGGGAGCAGAACAGGCAGACTGATGAAGTACACTGTCGAGGGGAGCAGCGGGCAGCAGGAGAGGTCTGAGTGCCATGTGGGACCCTCGCCGGCAGCCAGGGATCTAACTGGTGCTGCAGAGGCTGCGGGCAGCTTCGCAGCCCAGCGCTCAACCACTGTGCCACCGGGGAGGCCCTAATTCAACTTTTTAATTAAATATATGTGCATTGTTAAGATCTTAAAGTATACAAGGGTATAAAATAAAAAAATCACCATGCTGGGCCTCCCGGTGGCGCAGCGGTTGAGCGCTGTGTTGCGAAGCTGCCCACAGCCTCTGCAGCGCCGGCTCTATCCCCCCGCCACCGGGTGAGGATCCCACATGGCACACAGACCTCACCTGCTGCCCGCTGCTCCCTTCAGCAGTGTATTTCGTCAGTCTACCTGCTCTGCTCTCCGCTCTGCCTCTGGTAAATTCTTTCGCCCTCCAGCGCTTCTGACTGTACCCAGTGCTTGTATAAATAAATAAATAAATCTTTAAAATTCCATGCTTTTTTTCTACCTGCCACTTATACTCATCAGAATTAAGATACTTTTAAGTTTGTTTTCAGTATAATTTTAAATGTCATATTTTCATTTCTTTATCAATTTTTGACATAATTGCTGACTTCCCATCATGAAAAATGAGGAATGAGATTTATCCTACTTTCCTGCTCTCCATTTTTGATGCCTATATTATAGTTAGTTTTTCTAACCCTTAGAACTTTAAAATATTTAAACTTCTCTGTCTTGATTTATCAATTTTAGTGACTCTCTAGTGACTATATATTGACTTTATAATAAAAACTTAACACATTAATGCACTTCTACTTCCTTCTATCACTCCTTTCTTTTCTCTCCCAATTAACAGCACATTTTGTTATATAAAAGACTATTAAAATACATTATACATGTAAAATCATGTTACTTTACCAAGTTTTATTATGTTTATATTATTTTTCATAACTATAATTAACTCAGTGTTTTAGGTACTGGTTGATTCTAAAAATTGAAAGCTAATAAACCATTCATTATTTCATGCTAAGAACCCAGTAATGTGATTGGATTCATGGAAAAAAAAAGGAAAGAAAGAAAAGAAATCTGACACCTGTTAAACTTGACTCTTGTAAGAACTTTTCAATTCTTAAGTTTTTACTTGTCTTCAATGTTGTGATATTGGGCGCAACAGATACACTTTCACAATTTTCATGTTGTTTCTTTCTTCTCTTTTTGCTTGAAAAACTCCTCAGGTATTTATTTTATATAAATTTCATGCATGGTAAAACTCCTGAGTTCTTGCCTTTCTGCAAATTTCTTCATTTTTCCCTCATACTTTCCAAATAATATAACCTGGCATGAAAGAATATATTTAAAATATTTTCCCTCAGAGCTCTTAGATATTGCTTCATTGCCTTTTAGTAATCTATATTGCTGATCAATCTGATTCTCAAACCCTTCTGGTATCTGATAGTCTCCATTTTTTCTCCCAGAATTTACTGCATGGCTCTTGGACATCTTCAAGACATTTAGCATTTACATGCTACTATAGCCCTTATGCAGAATTTTTACTTTGGAATTTATATTTGTAATTTCTGAGGACCAATTCTTGGTCTCTGGTTGTTTCTTTCAAAATAACTTAAATCTTTCTGAGGGTGCTGTTGTACTAAAGTTCTCCTTTGTTCTTTGTGTCCCTTTTTCTTTGCAGAATCAGATCTGTTCCACAGTCCTTCTCTTCCATGCTATTCATTGTCCTTATTTGACAAGTAATCTTTGGTTATCCATTCATGATGGGGTCTCAGAGCTGAGTTCTGTTTCCTAACAGGGCTGACATGGAAGGTTGATGTGAGCCTTATGTAGATAGATGAGCATGTCAGAGCCAGCTTCCTGTGGGGTGTCGGCAGGCAACAGGCAAGCTCGATAAACCACTATTACTAGAGATAAGGACACATTACTGGGATTGGAGCTCTTTCTGTATTTCATTCCTGAATGGAATGCCCTTTTTTCCCTTTATTCCCCCAAGCTTTTTGAGGTACTACATATTTTCTTTGAGGACTGCCTCCCCAAGTGGGTCTGCCCACTCTCTTTACAAAGCAATTCTTTGGATTTCTTTTGGAAGTAAAACAGCTGCTTCCTATTGCCTTGTATAGGAGAGAGGACAGACCTGCCTAATCAGATCTTCCAAATTCATTCCTTGAATTACTGTAGTGATGATCCCCAAATCCTCCTCTCTATTTAGTTCAGTCTGAGCTAAGAGCTCCTCAGAGGGTTCCTTTGGAAGACCTTTACTTACATTTATTGTCTTGAGCTGTAGTCTTTTTCATTCTGGTTTTCTCCAAACTGAGGCCATTAATTTTCTTCCTTTCAAAAATTTCATAAACATTACTCATTTACTAATGACACCTTTCTGTTTTCCAAGGCTATTTTTTGACTGCGTGTTAGTTTTTTAAGTGCTTAGTATTCCAATAAAATCTTGAAAAGGAAGGGAGAGAAAATTGTGTGTTTATCTGCTGTGGACCTAGTATTCTTGTTATATGGAAACCGCTCCTAAATCAAATTCTTAATTTTGCCTTATAAATCTTCCTTTTTAATTATTTCTCATCATTTTCTGGTGAATTTGGTGAGATTGTGTTTTTAAGGAAATCTGTCCTAACAGTTCATAAAAATGAAACCATTATTGGCTCAATTGGTATTTTAACTGTCATATTACTACTACACTGGTTGAACACAGAGCAAACAATAGGAGACAGATGAATGTGGAGAAATAGCTTTGAAATCAAGAAGATCCAGGCCCCATCTGCCTCTGCCAGCCATGGGTTTTGAGAGGTTCTCTACACTCTCAGTTTCCTTGACTACAAAAAGAATACTAATAACTGCCTTGATTAGTTTTAGTAAAGATAAATGAAATAATGTAAGTAAAGCAATTAGTATGATAGACTACAAAGTAACATCTCAGTGAATGTTAATTTTGTCATTATCTTGTCATCATCTTTATAGAACATTTCAGAAATGGTATTTAGTAATAGTCTAAGAAAGGTACAGAGATCTAAATGAATAATGTATTGATTTTGTTAACTATTAAATTGGGGGGGGGAACCACTATGGAGGCTGTGTGGGGGTTCTTCAAACAAGTAAAAATAGAGCTTCCATATAACCCAGCAATTCCCCTTCTCTGGATCTTTACCCAAAGGACACCAAAACATTAATTCAAAAGTACACATGTACCCCTATGTTTATTGCAGCACTATTTACAATAGGTAAAATATAGAAACAACCCAAATGACCAAAAATAGATAACTGGATCAAAAAGATGTAGTATATATACACAATGGAAAATTACTCAATAATCAAAAAAGATAAACTCATGCCATTCATAGCAACGTGGATGGAGCTAGAAGGAATTATGCTCAGTGAAATAAGCCAGAAAGAAAAAGAAAAATATCAGATGGTTTCACTTATAGGAAGAATGTAAACAAATAAGGGATCAGGAAAAAATAATTATAATAAATTAAAAAACAAAATTAACAGGCAACTATAAATCAGGGACATTCTTCAGGGGAGGGGAAGGAAGAGGGATCAAAACAGGTGAGAGAAGAGCACAAGGGACTTTGGCAATGGTGCACAGGTGAATTGGTAGTGGGCATTCTACAGGGACTACATCTGAGAGGAGAACACATACATTGTACAAAAAGGAAGAATGATGTAAAATATATATAAAATAAAAATAAATAGATAAATAAATTGGTGGGGGGGAACAACCTTAAGTGTTGTCTAGGGATTGCTCTTTAAGGTCCCTTCATTCTTGATGTCTGTTGCTTGGTTCTCTAGGAGATAGATAAACAGGGCTCCCTCAGAGATTTGCACAGGTGGCTTCAGCAGAGGAGTTCTTTGCCTATTACAGGATAGTCATTTAAGAATTAAAACCCCACTGATGCAATGTGCCACAGAACAAAGCATCTATCAAGGAAAGTAGAAACACAAGAGAACTGAGCATGGTGGGAAAGTGGCAGTCTTAACATTGACTAAATATTTGGGAAATTTTTGTTTCATAATTTTAGAATGTAACAATATATTACAAAAATTGAAATTCAAAGAGGGAAAGGAATTTGAGAGGCAATAGTTGTCATTTGCTTGTTACTAGTAATAGTCACTTTAGAATCCCTGTAAAATTCCCACTACCAATTCACCTGTGCACCATTGCCAAAGTTCCTTGTGCTCTTCTCTCACCTGTTTTGATCCCTCTCCCTCCCCCTCCCCTGAAGAATGTCCCTGATTTATAGTTGCCTGTTAATTTTGTTTTTTATTTTATTATATAGTCACTTTAACTAATAAAGGTCAATAAATTCCTACTTTTCTGTGAGGTTAATGAGTCAATTTATCAAATAATTATTAGAATATAGATTATTTAATTACAATCTATTTAACCCCAGCCCTTAAAATATTTGGTTAATTTCAACCGAAGTCAGTGTTTAAACATATATCATCACTGCTGCCACCATAGCAACACATGTCACAGAGACTGTGGAAGTGATTTACTCCTTGGGGGAAATGATATAATATTGGAAGCCCCTAAGGTTTAGAAAGGACTATTTTCAAAGAATAGATACTTGTGTTTGACTTTATTGAAACGATAAGAATAAAATACTTCAAAGGAAAATATTTCAAATAGAATAGAAATCAGGATCTTCTCTGTACATTTGCTATTTCATTGTTAAATGTACTATATTTAGAATAACTTAACACGTATATAAGTATTCGTAAAACTAACATTTTGTCTAAATTTCAGGACTATTTATCATAGTTTGGGTCCCAGAATTCCAATTTCAGTACAAACAGAAGAAAGTTGGCTTCAAGAATTATATAAAAAAAAACAATGGCGTAAGTAGTTTGATTTCTTAACTTCTGTTGGGAGATGGGACTGTAAGTTGGGAAGGGCACAGGTATAGACAGCCAGTAGAGCCAGGTTTGAATTTCCATATCAAACACAAACTAAATGTGTGATTACTGGACAAGTTAGTTAAAATCATTGAGTCTCAGTTTCTTCATCTGTTGCAAATAATACGTCTGCCAAAATGAGAGTAAATATTTAAATCCTTGGCACTCAGTCTTTAATAAATGCTAATATTTATGTTCACATCAAGAAATAATCTGTCTTTATATTTTAATACAAATCTGTAGATTTATTCCCGGTAACAGATACGTGCTATTTTTTAACTGTCAGCCCATTAAGAAATACATATTGTAAAAATTGAATTGTAACTTACCTCAGGATATTCCTCAGAATTAACCACTATGAATAACTTTTCCTTTCAACTGTTTCTGTTCTATGTGTATCACTTATTCAGCAGATGCTTATTGAGTACCTGCCATAGGTCAAGTGCTCTTCTAAGGAAATGCAATTAACAAATAAAACCGTTGCCTAAATGATCTTCTATTGAAGTGTGGGAGATGGAGGTGATGGTGAGATAGACAAAATAAGTAAATATATAATTGAATCACTGATGTACTCAGTGTTAGGAGGAAAAATAAAGAAGGGAAAGAGATAGGAAAGCTTGGGCAGGATAGGTACAAACTTACACAAGGTGGTCAGGGAAATCTTTGCAGTGAAGCTGAAGTATTTGATCAAATACTCAAGGTAATGAGAGAGTTGAGCCATGATGATCTCTGGAGGAAGAGTTTCCCAGGCACAGGAAGCCTCCTACTAGAACAAGGAGGTGGACAGAATGGCTGCAGTGGAGTAAGAAAGAACATACATGGCAGGAATCAAAGAGACAAGGAGGAGCAGTTGACTTCACTGAGAATGAAGTGGAAAGGGAGGTTTTCCCTGGAGGAATGACATAATATAACATAAAAATGTACCCGAAACTAAGAAGGTGTTAATTATTCCCAAATTAATCTATATAGTCAAGTCATTTTGATGGGATTTTTCAATGTAACTGGAAGTTGAGTCTTTGGTTTTGCTTTGCAGTGTTAAAAGATAAACTGAGGAATTTCAAATTTATTTGTGCAAATATGGATTGGAATTGGGTAGTGCTAGACTGGAATTGTGAAGAGTACTCCACAACAGGGAACCAGGGGACAGGATTTTTAATAGAAAAAACATGGGAGCACAGCAAAAAACTTAATTGATTTGCTTTAGTTATTGCATTATTTGGGAAAATTTAGCGGGCTGTTTGGTTGTTCTTAATCTTGAAGCATTTGCAGAAATTGACTGGTTTAGGTTTTTGTTTATTTGCGTGTGTTACACCACATTTAAAGCCACTTCATATGATGGTTTCCTTTTTTGATAACTTTACTAGCAGGAACCTACTGTAACTCTCCTTTTTTTTTTGCAGGACTTCTTTTATAGTTGCTTTTCCCCCTGTAAGTCTCTCATATAGTTCATAGTTTATTCCTCTGTAATTTACAGTCTTTTATTGATGTAACAATTGTAATCTCTTTCCTGTTATATTTTCTAGTAGTTATTCTCAATGTATAGGAAAACTACTGACTTCTATGTATTAATCTTATATCTAGATTATATCTTATATCTTACACCCCATTGTTGAACTTTCTTATTTTATTTAATATATTTTAGTTGAATATCTACAAGACAATTACATTTCCTGCGAATAATGGCATTTTATCTTTCCTTTATTTTTCTACTTAGTAGTGTGTTATGGACCTGTCCATGTCCAGAAAGATGTAGTTCTTTGAAACAACTGTGCTATTGTACAAAGTTATTGTGATCTATATAAATTCTATTGGTTTGGGTTTGAACTCTTCTTTATAACAAATAATGCTGTCATGGAACTCTTTTTGCATTCATTTTTTATTTTTTTTTTTTTTAATTTTTATTTGTTTGTTTGTTTTTTGTTTATACATGCACTGGGTACAGTCAGAAGCGCAGGAGGGTGAGAGAATTCACCAGAGCCAGAGCGGGGAGCAGAGCAGGCAGAAGGACCGAAGTACACTGCTGAGGGGAGCAGTGGGCAGCAGGAGAGGTCTGCGCGCCATGTGGGACCCTCCTCCGGTGGCCGGGGAGCAGCCAGGGATCGAACCGGTGCCGCAGAGGCCGCGGGCAGCTTCGCAACCCAGCGCTCAACCGCTGTGCCACCGGGGAGGCCCTGCATTCATTTTTTATACCTGTGCTGACATCTCTGTTTGATAACCTACCTAAAACATATTTTTTTCTGATAATCTATGTAGCAAGCATGTCCCCTTCTGAAGCCTATCTCATTTTGTAGTAGCAGTCCTCATCTTTACTGCTGAGAAAAAGGGTCAGTCCCTCTCTTTACTGCTGTCCTTTTATAGGTTGTTCTGATTGGTTTTCATCATTTCAGTCTGCTCTGCTAAATCTTCATTTATTCAAGGTTGCTGATATGCTAATGGCCCCTTTCCAGAACTTAAAGGGAATAATGCCAATAATTTATTTCACTGTCTGGAACGGAGTTACCCTCACTCCCACCCCAACATTTCTATCAGAAAGTTATTTACAAAATAACAGATATAGAGTAGATAGAATAGCATTTAAATTAAAAAAAAAAGCAGGAAGCAAAAGGTCTAGAAACCATGATTATAATCAAGTAAAATATGCATTAGTGTATTCTAGAACTAGAAAGGAACAGGGAAATATTTAAAACATGATATATTAGTGGTGCTATATTAATGGTGAGTTTCCTTTGTTCCTAGATGATAAAATGTTATTTGGTGAAAGGCACAAATTTGAAAGATAAATACAAAAATGTTTCCAAGAGACCTATTTTTTTTATATATTAAACTTCGTTTCTACATTGTCTGGATTAATGACAAATGGACATTTATTTTACAGGAAAGGAAATATGCCCTGTAACACCGGAAACTGAACCTGAAAATCTGACTTCTAAGTCAAGAGGTAAATGGAATGATTTCCACTGCTGGCAAAGGCAAACTACCATTAGAGAACTAAACTTAACTTGAATAGAGCCTACCCACTTTAGAACAGCCCACTCCCATGAGAACAGCTACATGAAGGTGGTGAGGGCCTCCCTGGTGGCACAAGGGGTTAAGCACGGTGCTGTGAAGCTATCCACAGCCTCTGCAGTGAGGGCTCGATCCCCCACCAGCCAGGGAGCAACCCACATGGTAAACAGACCTCTCCTGTCTTGCCCACTGCTCCCCTCAGCAGTGTATTTCAGTCAGTCTGCCTATTCTGTTCCCCACTCTGTCTCTCTTGAATCCTCTCACCCCCCACTCCCCCACACCTCTGGCCTGTACCCAGTTCTCCTATGCATAAATAAATAAATCTTTTTTAAAAAAGAATTTATTTTTTAAAAAAAGATGGTGAAAGATAGGGTTTCAGGACATTTAAACAGTGTGCGTTTGAGGGACAATGATCTCAAGCTAGAGGAAATGGAATACATTGAACAAAAGTTTTAAACTTTCCTGCTAAATCTATCATTTTCCTTTTAGAAAAATGGGTAATTAATCCAGACGAGCCCAAACTGAATATTTTATGTGAGCTGGAGGTAAGAAATGTTTATCTGCCCACCTAGTACATTATGTTCAGGGTAAAAATCATTTATCCACTTCTCCCCCCTTTCCCTTTCTCTCTTTTTCTCTCTTTAAACTTAGTTTAAGGAAGACTTCATAACACTGTTTGAACCTTCTCTAAGAACATTGCCCAGCATTGGGCCACCATCTATTCTGGCATACAAACAAGAGAGTTCCAATTTAAACATTACATTAAAGGTAATTTGAATGCATGTTCTTTTTAATTATTATTGTAATAAATGTAAAAAGCTAAGTGATGATTTCCACAAAAGATATAGAACATTTAAAAAAAAAAATAGGCAAAGAGCTCATTTACTAGAATAATACTGGGGGTAGCTATATTTGTTTCCTAGGTCTCCTGTTGCAAAGCACTACAACATGGGTAGCTTAAAACCACAGAACATATTGCTTCACTGTTCTGGAGGGTAGAAGACCAAAGCAAGTTTCAGGAAGCCCAGCCTCTAGGGAAGATTGCTTCCTTGCCTCTTCCTAGCTTCTGGAGGTGGTCATTCATTCTGGCATTCCTTGGTGTGCAACTGTAACACTCTGATCTGCCTGAGTTGTCCTAGCATTCATTGTCCAAATGTCCTTATTCTCTAAGATCACCAGTCATATTGGTTTGGAGCCTACCCTAATGACCTCATTTTAACTTATTACACCTGTGAGTATTCCATTTCTAAACAAGGCCGCATTGATAGGCACCAGACATTGAATTTCAACATGTTTTTTGGGGACACAATTCAACCCATAACAGTAACTATAAAGCCTGGAAGTGTAAGTGAATATTTGCCATATTTAATGAACATAAGTGACTGTTTAATGCCTATGTTTAGTTAGCAAGTGATAGATCACCTCTCTAATTCCAAACAGGATGGCACACCACCCAGCTACATCAGTCAATTGAATGTAGCTCACTGGCATGGTTATTCCCATACTTGGACTGTATGACATAGTGTCATCCCCCAACTGAAGGGTTGAAGGAATGACAGGCCAAGGAGTTCACTTGTATCAGCAGGTTATAGATGATCTGATGTTACCAACCCCCTTTTCTGCCCTGATTCATCATGTGGTAGCCATACTCTCTCTCTCTATGGCAAGGCTTTACTCCCCAAGTATTCTGCTCTCATGTGCAGGCCTAAGGTTGTTGAACCCATGGTGGCGTTCAGCTAGTCCTAGAGATTAGTTTCCATGACAATAACAGGTGCCCTGGTGATGTTCATGATCTGATCTGTAAGTCATAATCAGGTTTTCCTAGAGGCTTGGGCTGAAGCTTGGCTGCCCACTTGCCCCAGAGCCCCTACAGCTTCCACGCAATGGCATGGCCATAGTACATCAACCCTACGGCGTCCCCCGCACCCTTAATTCCACAGCTCCCTTTTGCTTTCCCTAGTGTCCCACTTTCCCTCCTGTATTCCCTCCACAGCATAGACTGGAGAATTGATAGCCCCAACATGGACTTCTCCTTCAGAAAGAAATCAACTTTAGAAAGTTAATTATTATAAATAGTGACCTACATAATAATGTAGACTTTTTCTTACTTCACAATTCTTGAAAGAGTTTATGGTAGACCATTTGCATAAAATCAAGTATGTTTTATCTTTTGTCTCTTGCTTCTGTTATATACTGTATATACCCCTCTTCCACAAGGGACTCTGATATCAACAGGAAAGTCATTTCAGCAATTTTCTTCTTCATTGAGGACATATCCCAATGACCCATACAGCTGCTAGTGGGCTCACCTGTGCACTAATGAATTGTACCAGATAGAGCCCCTGGAAACAACACCTCAGCTCCTCAGTGCTCACAAGTCTTTGAATAGAAGTGCTATCTCATTACCGGAATAACAGATCTTGCTGGTTTAGTGTCTTCTGGTACAGGATCTCAGCTCCCTATAAGCTCCCCACTATTTCTGAGAGGCCCCAGGGTATTTGACAGGAGTTTTGAATATTTGCCACCTTACATGGAACTCTGGTGCCTTCTGCTCATTTTTTCATTCCCCTTCCCCTGCCCCTGACTCTCTAAAGGAAGAAGAGGAGGAGCTACCGCTCAAGTGTGAATTTTGTGGAAGTGATTTAAGAACATTTTTTGCCATGGTGGATGTTTGCTCTGACTACAGTAGTTCTGAACCAATAGAACATGTAAGTTTTAAAGTGGGTTTTCTGAAGAATCTGTCATTTTTAAACATATATAGTATTTTCTCCTGCAACTTTCCCCAGCATTTCCATTCTTTTTTTTTTTTTAAGATTTATTTATTTATTTATACAAGCACTGGGTACAGTCAGAAGTACGGGAGGGTGAGAGGATTCACCAGAGCCAGAGCAGGGATCAGAACAGGCAGACTGATGAAATACACTGATGAGGGGAGCAGTGGACGCAGCAGGAGAGGTCTGCGTGCCATGTGGGACCCTCGCCTGGCTGCCAGGGACAGAACCGGTACTGTAGAGGCTGCGGGCAGCTTCACAGCCCAGCGCTCAACCGCTGCGCCACCAGGGAAGGCCCAGCATTGCCATTCTTAAAAGAAGTATATATTAGTCATTGGGACAATCAAATGATAACTAAAATGGTATACCATTTCACACCTACTAGTCTGGTGCTAATCAAAAAGCAGATAACAAGTGCTGGCAAGGATGTAGTGAAACTGGTAGTTTATCAGAAAGTTAAATACAGAGTTACCATATAACCCAGTAATTCCACTCTTAGGGTATACACCCAAGAGAATTGGCAACATATGTCCACCCAAATACTTATACACAAATGTGCACAGCAGCATGATTCATAGTGGCTAGAAAGTGAAAAAAGCCCAAATGCCCATCAACTGATAAATAAAAGTGATGTCTCTATACAATGGAATATTATTCACCTATATGAAATAAATGAAGTACTTGGGGCCTCTATGGTGGCATAGGCGGTTGAGTGCAGCGCTGTGAAGCTGTCTGCAGCCTCTGCAGCGTCGGTTCAATCCCCGCCGGCCTCGGAGCAACCCACATGGCGAGCAGACGTCTCCTGTCTCTCCCACTGCTCCCCTCAGCAGTGTACTTCGGTCCTTCTGCCTGTTCTCCTCCCTGCTCTGTCTCTGGTGAATTCTCTCACCCTCCCGTGCCTCTGCCTGTAACCTGGCTCTTGTATAAATAAAATCTTAAAAAAAAAAAAAAAGAAAGAAAGAAATGAAGTACTTAAACATGCTAAAATATACATGAACCTTGATATCATCAGTTAAGTGACAGAAGTCAATCACTAAGTACCACGTGTTATATGATTCCATTTATATAAACTTACAAACAGGCAAATCTATAGACACAGAAAATAAATTAGTGATTGCCAGGTGCTGAGAACAGAGGAGGTTAGGGAGTAACACTTATTGTTATTCTAAAGTTATTCTATTGTTATTCTAAAGTTGGTTTCATGTTATAAAATTGGTTCTGGTGATGATTGCACAACTCTGTGAATAAACATCAGTGAATTATACACTTTAAATTGGTGAACTGTATGGTATATGAATTATATCTCAATAAAGCTGTTAGACCAAAAATGATTATGATAGATTGCCATCCAAATCCTATTGCCATTTCTGGTTTCCCTTCTCTCTCCATCCTCCTACTAGACTTTATCTAGAACTGATGGGATGAAAATGACCACTTTGTTTTTCAGGCTGCTTGTTGTAGTTATTTCCAAAGTCTGATTGACTACATCTATGAGGAAAAACAAAATATTCAAAGCTCTAAATCTGAATTAATCTGTATTGATCCTCATGCAGCCCATGGTAGTGAAGCTGATAGACTCAAAGAAAAAGAAAAAGCCCTTCGGAGGTAACATGAGCATTTTATATTAAAACTCAAATAATTCAATCAGAGATTGTTTTGTAAAATGAACCCTATTCCTGGGCCTCCCCTGGTGGCCGCAGCCTCTGCAGCGCCAGTTCGATCCCTGGCCACCGGCGAGGGTCCCACAAAAAAAAAAAAAGAAAAAGAAAAAGAAAATAAGAACCCTGTTCCCTAATTATGTAATTTTGAAGATTTGTTCCCAAGTGAAGAAATAAAAATTGGTTAAAACAAACTAGTTCTTGGTGGATGTTACGAGATTCAGAAACTCAGTAAACTCACTGATTGAAAGTAGAAATTTACCAATCCCAAATCCTCAAAGCAATCCAGAATTTCCTTTGTTACAGAAATCTATCCACTAAGCAGACTAGAGACTGACTTGGAATGATTAAATACTGGAACAAATAATAATAGATAAAGGTAACAAATGATGCAGTTAAAACTTGTACTAAGCTTCTAGCTTTTATGCACATTCCAAATTTATGCATCATATCTTTCATTTTGTAGAAAACAGGAGCGACAAATGTCCAAGCACTATGCAATAATAAGAAATGAACAGACTAATGTATCTGAAGAAGGTGAGTCTGTCAACACTGATGTTATAGATCAGTGGTATATCCACATTTGACCAAGAGCTAACAGTGGTGTGTATCGTTACAATAATATTTAAATTTTCATTTCAGTCAATAGAGTTAAAATGACTTAAAAGATCTGGTGTTTCAGTCATTTCACTTTTGGAGTTTTTAGTCTTCATATCTTTGTTGTTATTGATTTAAATAAATTAGCGACATCTATAGAATACTTTCACAGCTGCAAAGAGCTTTTAAGTTCATTGTCTTTTTTTTTTGTTAAGTACACACCCCATTTTATTTTTAAACCAGGACATGGGAAGTCTATCCAAAACAATCAGATTCTTTTCTTCATATATCTTTCCTGTCATTGAGTTGGCCAGTATAACTGCAGTACTGATACAGTGGAGGGAGAACTAATTTTAAAATCAGGAGCACTGGATTTGTATCCTTGCTTTTCTCCTTATAGACTCTCTGATATGGGGTAAATTAATTGATCTTTCTGAGCATCAGTTTCCTCCTCTACCCCTCAGAGCTAGCTATTGAAACATACTTAGAGGGCCTCCCTGGTGGCACAAGGGGTTAAGCACTGCACTATGGAGCAATCTGCAGCCTCTGCAGCACGAGTTCGATCCCCGGCCAGCCAGGGAGCAACCCACATGGTGCAGCAGACCTCTCCTGTCTCGCACCCTGCTCCCCTCAGCAGTGTATTTCAGTCCGTCTGCCTGTTCTGTTCCCCACTCTGTCTCTGGTGAATCCTCTTACCCCCGCATCTCTGGCCTGTGCCCCAGCTCTTATATGCATAGATAGATAAATCTAGAAACGAAACGAAAAGAAAAGAAAAGAAACTTAGAGAAGAAGGTATAATTTTGTTTTTTTTTTAAAACTAAATCCCTAGTTTCTACTAAACGTAAGGGTAGAAAATTCCACTTAATAAAAAATCATTATTTTTTCTTCTTTTAACAAAGGATTAGTCTCAGTTTTTAATAAAAAAAAAGCTCTCAATTTAATGAACGCCTTCAGTTTTCTTCTATTAAAAAAAGTCTGACAAATCAATACATTTGTAATAGAATTTGAAATTTCATTTTAGAAAGATGTTTTGGAAAATCTTAAGCTTATATGTACTTTTATGTGATTCATTCCTCAGTTGATTCAAAGCACTTTAAAACAATTTCTTATCAACACTCTGTGGATATTCCAGGAAAAGAGACAATTGATGACAATGTACTTGATTTTCAACTAGAAAATAAAAATATATCCATTATTTGTTGTGATTCCAGAATAGCGTGTGGAAAGGTAATCAGCCTATAATTCATTTTTTACTTGATACTTTTAAAAAATCATTTTATACTAAAATTATAAAAATTGTCACATTGAATATAATAGTTTAGTTACTGACACATTTAATATTTGTCAAAAAGAATTGGTACAGATAGGCCTTTTAACATCTACTAGGCTTTCTAACTTTCTAATGTTTTATTATGGGATAGTTTTATTAAAGCCTTTTTAGTTTATAATGTGATAATTGTACATAAGGAAATTCGGAACCCTTCAAAAACTATTAAAAGAGGGAAATTTTTAAAAGTCTTAACCACTTCCCCCAAATCATTAATATTTTCTAAACCTGCACTGCCCAGTGTAGTTGCAACTGCTACATATAGCTATCTAAATTTAAAGTAATTTAAATTAAATGAATTTTAAAATTTTATAGTAACAGTAATTCTTCAGCCACACTAGCCACATTTCAAGAGCTATATAGCAGTGAAGTACTATGGTTATCATAGTGCAGCACAGGTACAGAGAATATTTTATGGTCATTGAAAACTATTAGTACTCTTTCAGACTTTTTTATGCATAACTTTTTGCTAAGATACTCACAATTATATATGTAATTTTTATTTCTTTTTAACTTAAGATTTTTTTCTTTTATACTGTAATTATAAAAGACATTTTGCATGACATTATATAGTTTAAATTAACATCACTCTAATATCTCTGAGGCTGTTCATATAATTTATACATCTAGCTAGTCCTGTTATTGGACATATAAGTTATTAACAGTTTCTATGCTATCATAAATAACATTGACTTGAATATCTCTGAATATAAATTTAGTTTTATGTAGTATAATTTCTCAGAAATTAAATTACTGAGACCAGGTTTGTTTCTCTTGGGTGATATACAATTTAAGGGATGGCAATAAATTAAATGCCCAATGGAATTAATCCTGCCTGGAAAAAGATCATTCATCTAGCCCTCAATTTTCTTTCAAATTCAATTACCATTACTCAGTGAAAATAATCAAGAACACCAGGAAAACGTGAGAATTGAAAACCCAGAGGATATCTAGTAAGAAAACACCTGCAAAAACTTTGGAAATTGAAGTAATCTAACCATGTTTGTGAAAATAAAAGATCAGAGTAGATATATAGAGACAACAGAAAGCTATACAGTCACACAGCAGGTTTGAAGAGAAAGAATAAACTTAGAAATGAAAAAAGAAGAAATGAAATTAAAATATTAAAGGATGAGAGTTAAAAACAGATTAGATCCAACTAAAATTAATAACCTGAAAGAAAGTAGACCTATGTATATATTCACCATGGGGACAAACAGAGAGAGTGTATAATATGAAAATGAAATTAAAGTAATGCTAAAACAGAGCCAAAGATAGTGCCAAGGTTGGGGGTGAGGGAAAGAGAAGGGAGTAAGTCACAGTCTAAAGGTTCTCATTCGTGTGTTCAATTGCAATGTTCCAGTGAGGCTCAGGATCCAACAACAATGGTGTTTATTTAACAAACGAGATCAGGAAAAGGAAAGTTTCTAAGGCCAGAAGTGGGCAGCTGTCTCACCCCAGAGAGTGTCCATGGTGCCCAGTACTACAAACAAAAGTTACTCATGTCAGATGGTCCTGTTCTGTCAATAAGGCCTAACTCACAGTGGCAGCTGGAGGTACTTACAGGTGGGGCTGAGGTGACACTGCAATGGCCCATAGCAACAGTCTGAAGGATGGGCTGGACAGCACCAGATGCTAAAACAGACAGCGATGGACTCAACAGCACCAGGAGACAGTGCTAGCGAACTAGAGAGGGCAGCTCTCAAAGCTCTCCGTGAGCGCTGCTAAATTCCATGGAGATTATCTGGCGAGTGACTCTTCAGAGATTGGCGGCTGAATGCCTCTTCTCTTTTCAGAGGATGACTGCTGAATGAAGTCAAACTGTCTTTTGCTCTGCTTTATATCCTCTTCAGGATCACCCAACCTACAAGGCTGGTTGGACCGTTTCTCCAATCCTGGCGTCTGATTGGTCTGGTTAGTACCAATCATCTTGCTTTCATTTTCACTCTGCATAATTAGCTCAAGCCCTTGACTGACAGTTGGAGACTTTGAACTTGATTGGTCCATTTATGATCCTGGAGCCAGATACAAAAGGAAAAAGTCCTGCCCCTGCCTTGACCAGCATGTACTCAGGTCAGGACTAGAGGGTTCCAAGGAGCCATAGCTGGAGCCTGCCTCTGAGAGGCCAGAAGCGCACTGCACCCATGGGGCTGGGTTTGACTATTCAGGGGGCCCTGTTGCAGAGCATGGGTCCCAGCAACTGCAGGGTGGGCTGCCCCTGGGATACAGTTTCATAATGAGAGGTCTAAAATATATTTATTCAAAATCCTAGGAGAGGGGAATATAATCAGGCAGAAGCAGTATTTGAAGAGATAATAAATGATAATTATCCAGAACTGATAGATGCGACCAATTCATAAATTGAAGAAGTCCGATGAATCACAAGCAGGATGAATTTTTTAAATTCTATATATCTACATCATAGTGAAATTCAGAAAACCAAAATCTGAAGAGCAGCAGTTGAAAAATGTTCAGTTTACACTTAAAGGAGTCAAGTTAGACTATCAAATTACCTACCAACAGCAGTGGTGGAAACTATAATATGGTGGAATAGCTTTAGTGTGCTAAAAGAAAATAGTGGTTAATCTAGAAGTGCATATTCAATTCAAACGTCTTTCAAAAAACTGTGCACCCAAAAGACATTGTCTGGCAGAAAATAAGAGGGAGGGAGAGTTTGTCACTAGTCCTCACTAAAGGAAATTCTAAAGAATGTTCTTTGGGTAGCTGGATACTCTGAGAAAGATGAAGAGCAAAGAAAGTGGTATATGGTATATATGGATAAAATTAGAAGATGGCTGATAAAACAATAATAGTAATGTTTGTGGAGTTTCAAAAAAAAACAGCATAGGATAAAAATGCATGACAAAATAGTACATGATTTGGGAAGAAGGCTAAAAGCAATTTAAGTGTTTTGAAGTCCTTGGTTTGGCAGAAGGGCAAAAACAAAGCTTAACTGCAGACAGATAAATTAAGTCTGCTAGCTGAAATTTCTAGGGTGATCAGAAAATAATGGAAGCAAAGGGTTTAACTTCAAACTAGCAAAGGTAGAACAAAAATTAAAATGACTTAAATACTCCCAAGAAGACAGGAAAGGATAAGGGGAAAGAAGACAAATAATAGAGTACAAATAGAAAACATAAAATAATGTCAGTCAGTTAAACTATGTTGTTTAGAAATGCAATTATAAAGAAAAGCAAAGAAATTATGAAATCAGATTAGTGGTTATGTCTAGAAGAAAAGGATATTGACTTTGGGATGGATTCAGGGTTTATTACAATTGTTTAATTTCATGACCTGGATGGTGATAACATAGTTACTCACTTAAGAAAATAGCATTTTAGGGCCTCCCCTGGTGGTGCAGGCAGCGCTGTGAAGCTGTCTGCAACCTCTGTAGTGCGGCCGGCAAGATACCCATATGGCACGACAGACCTCTCCTCTCTCACCCACTGCTCTCCTCAGCAGTGTGTTTTGGTCAGGCTGCCTGTTTTGTTTCTCACTCTGTCTCTGGTGAATCCTCTCACTCTTCCACACATCTGGCCTGTACCCAGGTTCTTATATGCATGAATAAATAAATCTTTGAAAAAAGAAAATAGCATTTTAACATTTATCTGAATGAATTTCACATTTCATGATTTTTTCAGTGAAATATATATTATTTTCCAAAATAAATGACATTTACATTAAAATTTAGATGGCCCAGGGTTTCTTGTATCCATTTTATTACAGAACAAGATTAGGAATAAATAGAATTAAAGTGAATCTTTAGTTTGTTGTAAAATATTGCTGAGTACAGTGTTTCTCTATTGAATATTGCATATAATACAGTTAAACTTGGGGATAAATAAGGAGTATCTCCCTGTATTTTTTTCTTCATCTTCCCATCCTCCACTAATATTTTGCCAAAATGAACTTCAACAGGAGTTTAAAGTCAGGTTTATTCAAGTATAATTTATATATAGTAAAGTTCAGGTTTTTTAGATGTATGGTTTTATGCATTTTGACAAAGTTATGTAACCGCTTGACAATCAAGATCTAGAATATTCACATAGCACTAGGGTTGCTTTTTATCTTGTTTTGTTTATATAGTAATATTGTATAAAGTAAAAACAACAAACAGTTCCTTCAAACAAGTATGTAATATGAGAGTTCTGCTGGAAAATTTTTTCAAGTTATCTGCATAGGCTAGGTAGTGACAATCTTTAATGATTCCAAAGGATTACTGTTTCTCCAAAGCAGTAACAAAAACTTTATTTATTTTATTTTTTTTTTTTAAAGATTTATTTATTTATTTATACAAGCACTGGGTACAGTCAGAAGCACCAGAGGGTGAGAGGATTCACCAGAGCTAGAGCAGGGAACAGAACAGTTAGACTGACGAAATACACTGCTGAGGGGAGCAGTGGGCACACAGGAGAGGTCTGTCACGCCATGTGGGACCCTCGACGGTGGCCGGGGATCAAACCGGGCATTGCAGAGGCTGCAGGCAGCTTCTCAGCCCAGTGCTCAACCACTGCACCACTAGGGGAGGCCCAACAAAAACTTTAATTAAGAAATGTTTTGTCTCACTGTTTAGCAAGCAAAGGATTTCCTTTGTTGTCATACTTGATATAGGTATCCGATGCAGTTAAGTGTCCTTTTATTTTCTGCGGTGTATAGATCATGAGGAATGAACTCTTCGAGAAGCACTATAAAAATGGGAGCAAGTTTCTAACATCATTTCCAGATGGGACAACACAAATATTGTATCCTTTCAATGAGTTAATTTTAATAACTTTATCCTATCAGAAAAATAAAAATAACCAAGAAAAAAATATTACCCCAAATCCTGCCTCAGAAAAAAAAGTTCACATCTTTTAATATATTTTGTCCTACACCTTTTTCATTGAGCTTATACATATAGTCCTTTAAGTCAGTTCTTCATCTAGTTATTCATATTTTACAACTCGCTAGCTTTACGTAATAATTTTATATAATAATTTTTGAGTATAAAATACGCAATAAATGTAAGAAAGTAACAGCATTTTAAAATCATGTAAATATTTAATTTATAGGGATGTACTATAATTCATCTAATGGATTCTCCTCCTTATTAAACAAAGATAGTTTTATATTTTTGTTTGCTCTATACTGTATACAACAGCTAAATGAACAGCTTTGTGCATTCTTTGCTTTCCATGCTTATCATTTATTTCCTTGAATTCAATATCTAGAGATAGAAATTCTAGATAAGAAATTATGGATATTTTAATTGCTTTGTTTTGTCCTTCCCTCAGGAATCTGCTCAAGTTTACACATCCATGAGCAGGATGTTATTTTTTTAATATAAAAATTTAGTATGCATTTTATGGAACAATAAGTTATTGATTACTTGAATTTTTGCCTAATGGCTAAGCTATTTGTTATTTTAACATAAAGTTCATTTAATATCTCATGGGAAGGTTAAAGAAAAACCAAATAACGTTGAAAGGACTTTTTGTGAAATGAAGGCTTCACTTTATGTGAGAAAGTCATTTTTTAATCAGTTTCCTGTTTAATCAAATCCCAATAACAAACTAGAAAAATTACTTTCATGGCATAGGAAGTATAGTGAAGTGTTGGTTTCCTACATCCAATGAGAAAGAGTATAGATTTTATTTTAATTATATCAATACATTTTAAATAACTTCTCCAACTTTTGTTATTCGTTATTATTTCATGTCCTGACTTTAATCTTTCTTAATTCTCTTAATGTCTGTAACTGATTTTCAAAATGATTCAGAATTAGAATCATTAGAGTTTATTCCTTTCTCTCTGGACTTCTGATTAGTGTTGGTTAAGACTGAGTGTTGACAGAGAGTTATGCTCAATATATATTAATTTTTGATGGCACTAAATGGCTTTATTTTCATTTTCAGAATTTCCATTTCTAGTATATGGAAATGCAGTTTATGTGCATATATTGATCTTGTAACCCATAACTCTGCCACACTCATTTTTCAGTTTTAATATAGCCTCTGTGATTGAATTGCTTAGGATTTTCTCCATACAAAAGCATGCCATCTGTAAATAGAGATATTTTCCCATCTTCCATTTTATTTCTTTTCATTAAATTTCCCTCATCAGGGGGTGGGGGAAAGCAAATATTGTTTAAAAAAATTTTTTTTAATTATGTATTGTAAAAAAAAAAAATTTCCCTCACTAGAACCTCCAGTGTAATGTTGAACAGAAGTGGTGAGATTGGAGAGCTTTTTCTTATCTTAGTGGAAAAGCAACCATCTTTCACCATTAGTATGATTTTAACTGTGGATTTTTTGTTTATCAGGTTGTGGAGGTTCCCTGAATCTCATCATGAAAGGTTCTGGGGTTTTTCAAATGCTTTTTCAGTGTCTATTGAGATGTTCTTGCTTTTTTTTTTTTCCTGTTTATTCTAATAATACATTATATTTCATTAATTGATTTTTCAGATCTTAAACCAAACTTGAACTCCTGGGATAAACTCCACTTTATCATGAATATAGAATCCTTTTCTTTTTTCTTTTTTTTAAGATTGATTTATTTATATAAGAAATGGGGTATGGCCAGAGGCCGGGAGGGTGAGAGAATTCACCAGAGACAGAGCCGGGAGCAGAACAGGCAGATGATCAAAAACACTGCTGAGGGGAGCAGCAGGAGAGACAGGAGAGGTCTCTGCTGTGTCATGTGGGTATCTCCCTGGCCAGCCGGGAATAGAACCCGTGTTGGCAGAGTCTGTGGACAGCTTCATAGCGCTGCGCTCAACCCACTGCGCCACCAGGGAGGCCCAGAATCCTTTTCATATGTTGCTAGATTTCATTTGCTAGTATTTTTAGAGGATTTTCGTGTCTCTAAATATATTTTGTGCCACATAAAAAGCATAAAATCCTTTGTAATAGATTCCATTTTCAAAATGCTTTATCGTTTCAAAGTACTCCCTCATAAATCAAATATACCCAGAATAGAGAAGGACCATTAGAATAATTCAGATGACCTTATCTAATCTCAGTTACCCATCTGGAAATCTAGCTATCATTCGAGTGCCCAACAAGATAAGTGGTTTCACTTGTGTTATCCAAGAAGACACACCCACAAGCCCTGCAATTCTCGCAGTGCTTAATTCTTCTGGCAGAAGTTCCTGCTATCATCCAAATGGAAATGTCTGGTAAGCTTCTAGGGTCCCCCTGCTGCCACTTTGGTTTTGGAATTCTGTGATAAAAATGACATAATTGTTCTATAAATAGTAAGAAAATATGAACTATATAATTTCAATATAGAAAAAAATTCTAAGTAAATTATATGGTCTTCCTAAAGATAAGGGGTATGAATCCATGTGGCCTCTAGAAACCTGAAAATGTCATACTTTTTCATCTATAGAAATTTTTCCGATAGCTACTATACTGTGTTGTTATTTTTGATATATTCCTATTAATCTTCCTATCAACAATTACAAAAAAATAAAATCTTTAGAGAAATTAAGATCATGATCTCATTTTGATCTACAAGCTCGTAATCTCTATTACTTGATGTTATTTCACTTAACCTAAGAGTGAAATTTTGTTTCTAATTTCAAATACAATTTGAACTTTTTGAGCTATCTCAGAGTTATTCTCCCCCTTTAAATGTTTACAAGTGTAATAATCTCATCTTGAGAAACTCTGTCAATACTTGACAAAGTTTGGAGACTTTTCCAATCATGAGAAAAATAGGACACAGGGAGCTATTTGCTTTTTTTAATACAAAGCACTAGTAAATCCCTTACCATAATGTATATTGGAGAATTTCTACTTATTCTTCAGGATTCAATAGTAAATCTGTTTTACATTAGGTGGGCACTATTTTAATTTGCCCTTGCCTGTGAAGTCTCATGAACCACCAACTGAACTCCTGGACCCTCTAACATAACTCTTTAATTCTCTTATATTTTCTCCTTGTTGCCTTATGGGGAGAAGTGAAGCGACTTGAAAGCACACCCTGAATCTTTATCACTACATAATATGTTGTATAAACTCAAAGCATGTTTATTTTTCTAAATCACTAGTTTATCTAGATAATTTTAATCAAATATTATTTTACCCACATCTCAAGATAAAACTAAATCAGCCCTTCACAGATGCAATAAGATAATCAGCTCAAGTTTCCATTTGTACTTTGCTATTAAATTAGTACTTCTAGTCAACACTGGGGAAATAAAACTGTGGAAAGCCCTCAAAGAAAATTCATTGAATTCTTTTAAAAATGACTCATTATAAAATTAATCCAACTTTCTAAGTACCCAAAACTCTGCATATTCTCTCTCCTTAAGAAGGGGATGGTGATCCAACAGGGAAGAAGGTGAGAAAACAGGAGATAATTAAGTAACAATCATCAGTGTAACAGATTGAGGCGGTGCAAGACTAAATTTTTATGCAATGTAGTAAAATGTGGCACTGGCAATACTAAGAGATTGGGCTGTCTGAGTTCCACCTTCTGCTCTGTCACAGTGCTCTTCTCCTTTACAGAGATGTCAAAAATCTTCCCTGGGCCTCTACTGCTCATCCAACCCCTAATGAGAAGCCTCCTGGAGGGACTTCTGCCTACAAGTTGCTGGGTACTATTAGAAGAAAGCACTCTTGTGTTGAGACAAATTTGCCTTCTCCCGAATTCATACCCATTAGTCTTCATTTTAACATGGGAAAAAATCTAAGCCCTGGTCTTCTCCCTATTTTTAAGCATAGCCCGCTCACCTGCATCTCCTTCTCAAACTAAATCTTACTTACTTTCTCGCTTTCTTCCCTGCATATAATTTTCCAGACACCTTTACCATACTAGTTTCATCATATGGACCCTTTTTTTATTATTAGGTCTTGAATTGTACCCAGTACTTTAAGTTAATATAGAATTCAGTCATTCCTAATGTTACCTGAGGTTTCCTACCAGTCATGTACTATTGGTTAACATAAATTGTTACTCCCCTTGCTTAACAAGTAGCAGGGCTTATTTTGGCATTGAAATCTAATGTTACTATTTGTAATTTCTAATTTCCTTTCTGCCCAGGGTATACATCAATATCTTGGGAGGTCAATATTCAGACCAAGCTGGCAACAGGATAAGGGCTTGGAATTGGTCAAGTTCTGTTGCATCCTTACCTTTTGTTTCATTTAAGCCTGTCTTTCTGGCTTTAAACCATTATGTTGGAGTTCGAATCCTAGAACAAGACAAGATTTCAATTACTTTTCTAGCAATGGGCCAACAGGCAAGAATCAGTGTTGGAACCAAAGTGAAGGTAGGTACATTTTTAAAAACAGTTGAAAGCATTTAGAATAAGAAGTAACAATGTTTTTGGTGCTATTACTTATATATACTTGTATGCAATGTATCATCCACTAAAAATTTTGGAATGCAGTAAAAAAGTTTCGTATGGAATTAAGGCAACCTTACTAATTGCTTCTAGTTCCTTTTATTTCAGAGCTGAATTCAAGTATCATTTACTGAGTGTTCACCCTATGACTTAGTGTGCTGCTGCTTTGGGGTTTAGTTTCAGGATTTGTATTTTTTTCTTTTTCTCTATGCTAGAATAGAAAGCCCTTAGCTGTCTGAGCTGGGGTGCCTGGGTGCATACTGAAGGTAGACAAAACCAAACCCCTGCTCCAGGCCCACGTGGCTGCATATCTTCCCCCTTAGTAACTCTTCCCTCCTTCAGGAAGTCAAGAGTCATGGCACATTCATGGCATGATGGCATTTGTAATCCTCACCTCATTGGCATGGAGGGGGGGTATGAGTCCATAAAACATCACTGGGTGGAGTCCATTCAGGACATATTGTTCCCCCAATGATTTCCTCCTTTCAGATTTTGCCACTATTTCTATAGCAATGAAGTTCAAATGTGTGGGTGCTGGGATACAGCCTCAGATAGCAGTCTTTTCCAGCATTAAAAGGGATCATGCTCTGCGAAATAAATCAGAAAGAGAAAAAAAAATACCAGATGATCTCACTCATAGCAGGAATTTAGAAAACCTAAATAAGGGACTGGGAAAAAGACTAATTATAATAAAGTAAAAATCAAAATCAACAAGCAACTGTAAACTAGATTCACATTACGGGGGAGGGGGGCGGCGGGAAGGGGAAGGAGGGATTAGGGTCAAAACAAGGGGGGTGGGAATTGTATGGGGACTATAACCAAGATGAAAATGCATACATTGGGCAAAAATGAAAAATGATGTAAAAAAATATATAAAATAAAAAAAAAAATTCCAAACTTAAAAAAAAGAGAAAGACAACCATCAGTCACTAGGCATTGTCCATTTATAGCCAGTGTGCAAAGTCCTCCATTTCTGGAAAATAGTTCAAGGCAAAATGAAAAATATATATATATATTTATTTATATATAAATAAATAATATATATATATATATATATAAAGACCTTAATCAAACAAAATGGCAAGTAATGGCAGAAAGGAAAAAATCCTCAGAAAAAGAAAAAAATAAGATGAATCTTAAAATTGCTTCTGCATGTTTAAAATCCCTTTCTCTCCATCTTCATCCCAACTCTATCCAATAGCAGAGCAAAATACTATTACAAACTAAAACTGCTTCCAACCCATTTTACCTACTTTTGTATAAAGTCACAGGGCAGAATAACCAAGCAGCAACTTAGTTGGCTTTGTTGGAATACTCCCTATGTGATTTGAGTGACCTCTCAATTCCAGTCTGTACAGGCTGCAGAAGAAGGCCACAGTCTTACCAGACTCCACCCAGGATTTCCTTTTCTTGAGGAAGAGGTCTCTTTCTCCTAGGGTTTTCCAGTCCTGCCAATGGAGGCAAGCCTTTGTTAGAGTTTTGGAACCCTACAAGTGAAGTAATACATTATCCTCTTGATGGCTTAGCTCAAATTTAACTTCTGAAAGAATTTCAATCAAAGCCACATGTTTCCAATTCTCTAGTTCAAGGAGACAAAATTCCCTATTGAAATTATGCAAAAATAGACCATTGCAATGAGTAATAAAAATTATTACCATTTTTTTCATACTATGATGGCATCAAGGAGAGAGAAAATGCAAATCCAATTTAGTTCTGCTTACAAAAATGTAACATTGCTGCAGATCCTAGTCAGTCAAAATAAGAAATTTTCCTCGAGTCACAAGAAAAACAATACCAAAAGTAACCTGTATTATGTCAAAGAAAAGTTTATCAAAACTCATGTCTATTACCAATAGTCCATTCAGTTCTTTGTAGGAAATTCTCACTGTCAGGTTCCATCAGCTGGAATGAGTTGAGGTCTTTCTCCATTAATTTCTTTGCAAGCAGTTTCTACAGATGTCAAACTTTGAAATAACCAAAATTAAATCTGATACCATAATAGATAAGGAAATTTGTTCAACATTATAACAATATTATAGAACAAAAAACTAAATTGATAAAATTTACATACCAGACACCTAAAATGTTTTGTATAAATTTTAGAAGAGTAATGTTCATATATATATATATATGAGACACTGCTTCCTTTCCAGTTCCAACTTACCAATAAATACCAAATAGCTCAAATTTATCTAATGCCTTTCCCATAAGGAATGGGAGAAATTTTATGGAGTGGAGTTCTACTGAGGTTCCATAAAATTTCCTCTGATCAATCAAATGAAAGACAACCAAATTTTTTCTTCAAATTAGATTTCTGGGAAGTTTTGTCATAAATATTAAAAAACAACAACAGCAAAAAAAAAAAATTCAATTTCTAGGAAATTTCCAGAAAAGCTCAGTAGTGCAATGTTTACAGTCAAACCATAACCTTTTATTTAGGTCTCATGACTGGAGTCCTTTCTTTAAAAAAAAAAAAAAACTTAAATTCTTCCAACTCCCATTTTGCCTCACAAAAGGGCATTACAGACCCAACATCAATCCCCCATATAGGAGAGAAAAGAAATTATAACCAATACAACCTTATAAACACATATTTCAAAACAACCTTTTAGTCTACCAATTAGTTCCTATTATCCATTCAATTACAAATTATTTCCTTTTAGTCAAAAGAAATCCCAAATTATGTCTCCAGAAATACTTGTACCAGTTTCCATTATGTCTCCTAGCTCAAAAAGTCTATGGCCACATCTATACCAATTTTACAACCTCTAAAGGACAAGACAATTAGACACAAAGGGGAAGACAAACAGACATACAACATATAGACACAGGCAGTTCTCATATTTATCATTATCCCATAAGGAATATCTTATTCTACTGCAAACTCGCTAATAGGGTCCCCCCCACCAAAAAAAAAAAAAAAAAAAAAAAAGGCCAAAAAAGTAAAAGTTGAAAAAAATCAAAAGTTAAAAAATACCAGTCAAGACAAGGTCTTTCCATGTAATCAATACTAAGTTATTTAAAAACGGAGTGTTGCCAACAGAAGTTGCATGGTTCCAGATGCCATTTCACATACCTTAAGCTTTGAAAGGAAAACTTTAGTTAAAGCAACTACCACCTTCATGATCTCAAGGTTTTCTAGGAAGTGAATCCTGGGGTATCCTGCTACTGTAGCTGAAAGAATAGGAAAAAAATTATTTAACTTTTTGGATTTTTTCTTGAACAAATATCTCAGCTCCTCAATGGGTTCACAAGACCAGTGGGTGTTGGTCTCTGAGTCAGCACCTTCTGGGGCTTTCTTAACTCTGGAATCAGGTACCCAGGACTTCGTGCCTGCAAGTTTTAAAAAAGTGTGAGTAGTTAGTAAATTGTCATGCTTACCCCACCATTTATCTGACAGTTGGACTTGGGCATCTCCACTCTGCCAGGTCTAGAACAAGTCCTGATCTCCAGGTCTGAAAGGATGCAATGGTTCATCCATAGGCATAGAGATTCTAGAATATGCCAAGTTGTGAGTTACTGCCCAAATCTCCTGGATATGTTTTACATATTATTTGATCCTGCAATCTTGTTCTATTTCGGGTGTAACATTCAGAACTGAGGCTTGAAAGGATCTCCCAAACACAATTTCAAAAGCATTGAGTTGTAGCCTACTTCTAGGTGCCACTCTTATCCAAAGGTGGGCAATGGACAATATCTGATCCCTACACAGGTGTGTCTCTTGGCATAGTTTTGTCAAAGTCTTCTTCAGGGTATCATTCATTTTTTTGGTTTGTCCAGAATATTGTGGTCTCCATGAAGCATGTAGTTTTCAAATAATCTGTAAGGGATTATTTACTGTCTGAGTGACTTCAGAGACAAATGCAGGTCCATTGTCACTCTGAGTAGAGTTAGGCAGTCCAAAGTGAGGTGTTAACTCCTTTAACGGCTGTTTAGCGACCTCTGAAACTATTTCTGTCTTGGTGGGCAACACTTCCACCTATCCTGTTAAGGTGTGCACAAAAAAATGAGTATATATTTATGGTTGCAGTAGTTCTAGACATTTGAGTAAAGTCTACTTGCCAGTCCTCAAGAGGACACTTACCCTGATATTGAACCCCATTGGCATTAGGGTACAAGTCAGTCTTGAGGTTATTCTTGGCACATATTTGGCAATGTTGGGTGATTTGTTGAGCTATTCTGTGCAAATATGGACCCTTTAAATATGGGTGCACAGACTCTAGTGAGGTATCTCTCCCATAGTGGATTCGATTCCCCTATGTAGATGTTTCAACACTAGATGCACTAGGGCCTCTGGGAGGAGTACCATCCTAAGAGCAGGTGGAGTCAAAATTAGTAAATCCCCATTTACTAGCGCTCTCTTCATCTCGTTCAGTATATTCAGGAACATACCAAATTAGGTCCACGAGAGGGGTGAGTGCACCTTGGAGAACAGGTTAACAGGCAGTGGCCTGAGCTACACAATCAGCTGTTTTATTGCCCTTTGCAACTTCAGACCCATCCCTTGGATGGCCAGGACAATGCATCCCTGTGATGGCTGATGGAAAGCTACTGCATTCAACATGGCCAAGATTAGTGCTTAACATCTTTGTTGCTGGCCTTAAGAAGTCCCCTCTCTTTCCAAATGGCTCCATGCATGTGGGTAATCATAAAAGTGCCCTTCAAGTCAGTAAATACATTGGCCCCCTTACCTTTAGAGATTTCCAGGGCTCAGCCATCCATGCTGATGTTCCTGCTGGAAGGGTCTTGGCTTCTATGGTGTCCTGAAGTGTTACCACAGCATTTCCTGAACATTGATGTCCTTGTTTCACGGAACTGCTGCCATTATAACTAGCTCCCGCTCTGGATCCGGCAGGAACTGGTCAATCAAATCTGGTTGGCTGATAATACACTTTCAGTGGTTTCCAAACAGTTATGGATTACGT